GTGAACCGACCAAAAAGGCCGGCGATGTTCAGAATTACAGGCTGTGGCACAACAGCCAAAAGAAATATGTACGGGCACACATGCCCCATAAATATGCACGGGCACGCAGGCCCCAAAACAAATACCAATAAACGGGCATGCAGGCCCGACCAGAAATTCCACGACTGAACTTCCCCGGGACTACTAGCATCCACAACAGGAGACTCAGGAGGAGGCACGACCTGGCCGTCAATAATCTGAGACATCAAACCCACTCCCTCGGTATTCATTCCCGGATTCAATATGGCGAGTTGACTAACCGCGACCTCAAAATCGTCCGCTAAGGCACCGACGCAGTCTGTTTCGAGGAGATGGATGCGCGCGACCAGATCGGAACGGCTCCGCAAAGGGGCTGTATCCTCCGACTCATCTTTAGCAGGAAGCATGGCAGCTTTCAGCTCCTCGACTTCCTTAGACAAACGCTCATTGTCGGCCTCAAAGCGTTCCCTATCCAGTCGAAAACAATCCCTCTCCTCAGCTACCTTCCCCGAATTTTCCTTCTCCACGACCAGCAGCTCGGCTTGTTCACGGAACATCTCCTCAGATCGCTCGAGAGCAGCCTTCAACTTACGAGAGCCGGCAGCGAGGGCGGCTTTCTCCAACTCCAGTTCCCTGACGCGGTCAAAGGAGTCCGACCCCTCCTCAGCAAGGACAACGACCATCTCGGTCATCTTAACCATCCCGACCATACTGGCGGCCAGGTGTTTTTTCCGACTTTCTTTGTTGAGCCGCCTGATGGTCTCATCCTCCTCGGTGCTCACTGTTAAGGGAAACCCCTCGAAGAAACTTTCCTCTTTAAAACAGGGGGGCAAGCCAAAAGCCCTCACCGCGACAGACTCGTCGCCAACTTCCGACTGGTTATCTGCCCGACTTCTCTTTCTCGTGATCAACTCAGTGGGCTGCTCGACGTCATGGGAGCCCGGAGACCTGCTAGAAGCATCGCCTGAACTGGTCGGCGGGCCCATCCTCGTGGCCTGCGGGGCTCGCACCAACCTTCTGTTTACTCTTTTGTCCTGAGACAGTTTTAAAAGCCCCTCCCTTCGTTCGGCCATGTCGCCTGCAAAGAAGAAAACTCGGGTTAGTTACGAGCAAGTAACAAACAATGAAATTGGAATAAAACTATAAGACAAAGGAAACCTAGTAGATCTACGGCCTGCCCGTAAGATTGGCACTCGACGAGCGCCTTGGTATCGATAGGACGGGCTTCGAATGTCGGGTAACCTTCTTCGTCAAGAATATCTTCCCCCTCCCTCGTAACCCACCAGGCGGGGAAGAAGCTGTCGACATACCTAAAAAGGGTGCCATAGGCTTCCTCATCCTCGACACTCATTCCTCCCACAGGCGTATGGTAGTACCCGGTACCATGCTCGTAATGGCGCGAGCACCAGTGTAACGGGAACTTGGATACACGCCCCACCGCCGGACGGCCCTCGGCGTCCATAAGGGGCTCCCCGTTCTCGTCGACCACCGCGGTTTCCTCTTCGTATATAGAATCCAAAGCAGTCTGGGTGACCGGCTGCAGAACATACCACTTGTCCTTGAAGCCCCGGACCGAACCCATGTACATCCTGAAAAGCCTCTTCGACTACTTCAGGGAAACCCAGCTATGCCTGCCTCCTCAAGACTGACGCTGCAGGTGAAAAACTTTGAAGAAAAGAGGAATGGTCGCCCCGATCCTCAAAAAGCGGCATGTCAGCTCGAACGCCCGAAGGAAGGCGATCGAATTAGGATGAAGCTGCGAGGGGGCCAAGTCCAGATGGTAGAACACCCCAACTTGGAAATCAGTGAAAGGGAGCTTGAGGACGAGATCCATGAACACGATCTCATACATTGGAAACCCATACTCGGTGAACTCTGAGCAGATTCGTGCATCGAGGGACGACCTCGTCACAATGAAATTCTTTTGGAAACCCGACTGACTACCGCCGTGTTCGACGACAGTGTATGCGCGCCGACTACGCCGACAATACACCGAGGCAATCCCTCGAGGCTCGTCGCCCACCCAATCCAATGAAGGATCATCAACAATATCAACTAGAGTCACGTTCTCTTCGACACCTTGGTCCTCGACCTCATTACGCCTCGAAGACTCCTGTTCGTCAGCCATTTATTTGCAAAGCACAGGAAACCGGTGAAATTCGAGAGCAAATCCGCATGCTCGCCACAGCGACGGGAAGTAGTGCGCGACAAGCCAGACGCGCTCGACCAGACGTCGGGAACGACAAGAGGATAGCATGAACACCCCGCGCGATACACATTAATGACTCGAACAAGACCCTAGTTTCGCCTCCCCGACGCTAAGACGCTACGACAAGTTGCCCCACATACTTCCTAAGGGGTCAACGTCCAGGCCACACTCATGGGTGCTCCGACCTAAGCTATGAATGTGACGGGCAATATCACGAATCCTACGCCTAGAACTATGGGTTTACCGGGCAGTATCATGAATCCTACACATAGAACTATGGGTTTACCGGGTAACATCATGGATTATGCGCCTAAAACCATGAAGGCCACGGGAAACATCGCGAGTCATCTGCCTAAAGCTATGATTTTACTGGGCACAAACATGAACATACCGGGCACTAATCCCAAATAAGGGTTTCTAAACATCCAGATAACAGTAAAACTACCTACAACGAGGAAAAATAGGAGGAATAAACACTTACTTGGAAGCAAGGAAGAATGTACGGCAGTAATGAAGGAAGTCAACGGAGGAAGATGCGGTAATCTTGCGAGGTTGTAGAAAAACAGCGGCGGCGAAAGCAGAGGAAGAAGGAGAAGCGCGAAGAAGAAAAACAAATTATGGGACCCAAGGATCCTATTTATAGGGATGACGTGGAATACGAAACGTCGCCTCGGGGAGCCATGAACTTCCCCTCCTCGACATCTACCCCCCTAGGCAATGATGGCCCTACTGTCACTAGGGTGGCGTCACGATTCCCAAGGAGTGCCTCGTGTACCCAACAAACACAGCCCGCGAGGATGCCCCGAGCAAGCGTCGACGAGGATTAGGCTACCCATGAGAAACTCCTCGAGCACGCATGAGGATCAATATCCTAGGCCGGGCATCAGACCCCGTGGCAAAGGTGAGCTAAAGTCAAGTCATAACTCCTGCCCTAGTAGCAACGACTTGGGGGGCTCCTGTTCTAGACTGAGCCCGCCCTGACCCAAAAAGAATGGATAAAGGCCCAATCCAAGCAGCTCCTCGAGGAACGCGAGCGCACAGACTACCACCAATGTGCTCGACTACAGACTGCAGCCATGCCCGCTGCTGCCCGCGACACATGGTGTCCCCGACCAAGGGAATTCCAGCTCGAGCCCTGCTCGAACACTATCCCCGTAGGGCAGACTCTGTCCTCTCTGACCGTTATCGAATCACCTAAATTTCGGAAAGACCGCGTCTTCGTCCCTCCCCATTCTTCGCAGAGCATCACCAGGAAGGGGACCACGTGCGGGGCTCCACTGCACACGTAGAACCTGGCAGTTCCTTTATTTGGGTCCGTTCTGGTCGGCCCAATAAGGGGACCTTGGCCCAGCGCTGGAGGCTATAAATACCCTTTGTTCCCAGAGGGCCAGGTAATTCATCTCTGACGCATATATACACTTTTTACCTGCTTATTCCGTCTCTCACTTTAGCATCTGAGTGCCTTGCAGGTACCCCCCCTCCATCTCATTCAGATTCTGCCCGAGCCAGTCGTGACGGGCCAAGTCTGATCGCGTAAGATCATTTATCGTAAGCTAATTGTTGTGTAAATGATTTAAGGTGTTTTTAGATTGTTGGTGGATATAATTAATTTTATTAGAATTGAGTTTAATAGAATTAATTTTTATAAAATTGAATTTAATATAATTGATTTATATTTAAATATATTTATGTAAAAATGAGTTAAACAATAAATTTTAATATAAAAATCATTTAAAATCAATTTTAAAGACATAAATTATAGATTCTAACTTTAAGTAGAATCATTTTAAAAATAAAATCAATTTTACTTTTGATAAAACAAAGAACTCAAAATCACTCAATATTAATTTTACTCATTTATAATTAATTATGAATCTTTCAAAACTAATTTAAACAGATTATTAATAAAAAAATTATTATTATTAAAATATTATTTAGAATATTTATCATAAAAAGCTAATAATTATACTAACGATATAGTTATTTTATTATTAGTGAAGATTTTAATATGGTTGAAATACTTATTTTTCTTTTAGTTTATTTTTTTTTCTTAACGATGATAATAGAGAAGTATTTTAGTCTTTATTATTCCTTATTTTTTGGGTATAATTTTTATCTTTTATTAAAAAAAACTCTTAAAAATAAGATAAAAAAGATATACATGTATACTATCAATTAATCAAAAACATATATTCTATCAAATTATATTTTAATTTTAAAATAATTTTAAAATATTAATATAAGATAGTTGAATATAATAATTTTATTGAATGATAATCTAAAACTAATTTCCACAACTACCTTTAATCTCTACAAATAACTAACTACCATATTCTATATTTGAGTTTAAAATTGATTTTCATGTGCATTTTTCTCTCAACCGTAAAACAAATTTACCGCAATAAACACTTTCCCACAAGATTTTCACATTAAAAACAAGAAAGACACGTGGCGATGATCCAATGGTAGGTAGATTCTAGAAGGCGATAGAAGCAATAGTAAAACCGAAATTGAAACGGTTTTAGAAAATCTAGATCTCCATATTTAAGAAGAAGCTTCCTCTCTCTCACCGCATACTTTCATTCTCATATCTCGTCTCGTCTTGTTTCACACAAACGTGTTTTGAACTTTCGTCATCTTCTTCGTCACTCCATTGCCCTTATATTCTCCTCGTAATCTCTCTCGTCGAGATTTATTTATTTTCCTTTTCCTCTAGCGAGATTTTTTCAAAGGTAGTTTTTGAAATTGGGGGTGTTAAATTTGTATCAGATCTATGAATGTACCGAACTTAGATTTTTGTTCTCAATTGAGTCTTACGCGTACCATTATGTTTTTTATTTTATTTTATTATGTAATTATCTGTTTTTATAATTTAGTTTTGAACGATTTTGATTTATATATTTTTTTTCTGATGTTGTTATTGATCTTGTTAGGTTATTGTGATCGGTTCTGTTGAAGTATTTGGAATTCTCTTCAAGTGTTTATTTTTTGTGGCTGATTAAATTTGATTGAACTGCACCACATGGCTGAGGTATGAATATGATATGATTCTGTTACATTGAATCAAATTTAGTTTTTGTTCATTATTTGTAAATTTAGATACATGTAGCTCATGGCGTTTATTTGTCACTCACTGGTTGCAGGAGGGTTACAGGGTTGCTTTAAATGTTTATGATTTAAGCCAAGGACTTGCTAGACAGCTTTCAATGTCGTTTTTGGGGAAAGCTATTGAAGGCATATGGTGAGTGCTTCTATTTGTTGTTGGTTGAAAGCGGATTGATTTTGTTCTAATGACTTAATTATTTGTTGTATTGCTAAATAATTGCTATTTGTTTAAATTCTGTTGTACTATAGCTGCTATTCGAGCATACTGATTTTGAGAAATTAATTTGGGATATTGTTATACACCTCAGGCACACAGGAATTGTGGTTTATGGAAATGAGTATTACTATGGTGGTGGCATACAACATTGTCCTGCTGGATCAACACCATATGGAACTCCACTTAAAGTGGTTGATTTAGGTGTTACACATGTTCCAAAGGATGTTTTTGAAATGTATTTGCAGGAAATCAGTCCGCGCTACTTGGCTGAAACCTATAGTCTGCTTACTCACAATTGCAACAACTTCAGCAATGAAGTTGCACAATTTTTGGTTGGTGGTACAATTCCAGATTATATTCTTCAGCTCCCTAATGAGGTTATGAGCAGCCCAATGGGTGCTCTCATGTGTAAGTTATCACCTACAAACATCATCTTACTCAAATCAGAATTCTACTTGGTTTTCCTAATGCTGTCATTACTTACATTTATATCTTCAATTTTACAGTGCCAATGATACAGAATTTAGAGACAACATTAAAGGCAGGTGGAGTTCCACAAGTGCCACAGTTTAGGCCTTCAACAGTGACTTCTTTATCAAATTTTGCCTCAGTCAACACCCAAAAGAGTTCAACTGGACCTAACTCATCCACAGAGAATAAGGTCATCAATAAGGAAGTAAAAGGCAAAGAAGAAGTTAAGAAGACCGAAAATGCAGTGTCAGCTTCTGAAAAGCCAGCAGCAGTATCAAATGGTGTTGTAGACCCTCTAGGGGATGTGCGCAACAAGGTTCAAGATGAGATTATCAAAGAGTTTGCTGCTATCATGGCAACTGGGACTATGCGGGCTAGTGAAGCTGCAGCACTTGCTACTAGAAGAGTCATGGAAAGACATGGCCAGATTTCTCTGTCACAGAGTTAGCAACATTTGTTTGTGCCATTTAATATCTTAAGTGTCATTTTATATTTAATTAACAATTAGTTATGTATACAATTTCACTACAGTTTGTGGTGGATATTAAATTGAATTTGAGACAATTGAATCACTTTCTGTTGCATGGATGCCTACATTTTGTTATTTTGTCCTTGAAGCTCTTTTTTTTCTTTTTCGAATGTTGGTCTTTGAAGTTTGTAGTGTAAATGGAGTACATGCATTTGAAACTGTCTAAATTTTGAATTAAGGTTATATTATGATGATACATAGTAAATAAATCTCTATTTAGTGGCGTGGCTTTCATTGTTGTGCTTCCTACAATAGGCTTGTGATTTGGTTGAGAAAATTTTATCTAAAATTTTAGATTTGAATCATCAAAGTCTGGTTGTAAGTCGAATGATTTAATTTTACATCAAGGAAATCATAAAAATGCATTTTTGCACTGTTTTGAATTGGTTTTTTAAGCTCCTTCAAACTGCTTGTTTGAGCATGCCCATTGTTGTCGTGTTAAACTGTTATTTTAAGCTCCGATTCGATGCCTGTGTTATGAACCTTTGCCTTGTTATCTTTTTGCAAAGTTTTATCTAGCTCATTCTGATGCCAGTGTTATGAACCCATGCCGTGTTGAGAATACCATCTTCCTTCTCCAAACGCAGCTAATATGTGTCGAAAGATTATGACATAGTACTGGTTTTCCTGCTTTTGTGATGGCTATATTATGAGGCAAGGTATTATGTGATTGTCTATGTTCCCTATGGATGTCTCATTCTTGTCATGCAAACTTCAAATGGCTACATTTTGAGGCCATGTATTATGTGACTGTCTATGTTTCCCATGGATGTCTCATTCTTGTTATGTAAACCTTCAAAATTGTTTCGTGCTTTTTATCTAAAATTTGATTTGAATCATCACGGTAATCTTAACATAAAATATTTGGTTGTGGCTAAAAACAACTTAGTTTGGTTAAAACATTTGGTTGTGGTTAAAAATAACTTAGTTGTATGGTTGTGATTAAAAAAAGAATTATTAATGTAAATCGATTGTTTTAATTTTACATCAGAATAATTGTAAACTTACCTTTTGAATTGCACTTGTAATGAAAAAATGATACAACTTGAAGATTAGTAATTCAAAATAGGTGTAAATTTACTCTCTGAATTGCAATTGTAAGGAAAAAAAATACAACTATCAGTGAATAAGACTTTCAGACATTTTTAATATAGTAAAAACACTTGAGGGAAATATTAACATCATATGGAAACAGTAAGATAACACCTACTTACTTCCACATTATTGACACACACTACTTAATAAGAAGAGATTTTCATCTTCCCCTTCCACTTTTCATAGGTCTTCCACTGGATTTTTGCCTCATTACCTTAGATTCAGATTCATCTTTATTTTTTTTCGTGTGGTTCTTAAATTTTTAAAATGTTTAATTTTAATTTTTTTGTCTAATTAATAATATATTTACCGATCGATTTTAAAAAAATTTCGTCACTAATTAGATAAAAAGGATTAAAATAAATATTTTGAAAGTTAAAGAATTAAAGTGATATTAAAAAAAATTAAAAGATCAATCTTTATCTAATAGTATAATTAAGAGATCAAAATAGATATTTTTTATCATTATTTATTTTTTAACTTTTTTTATATATTTAAATATATTAGATTTTTTTTATGTTAGTACAATATTAAACTTCTTTATAGATTATTATTAACGTCCACACAGACCATCCTATATCAATCTGTGTTTTTATTGTGTTTTTATGAGATTTTTATTAATTCAAGCATGATATTAAGGAAAAAGTTAACTTGTGTCTTAATGATATAAATTAATAAATTATTTGTAGAAATATTCTTTTGAATCGAGTGAATTTAATGTTTTAAAATTTTAAATATAACTTTATGACATTTAATAATATTTGATTTTTTTTTAATTATAATATGTTTAACATTTGTCTTTAGGGCAAGCATGACCTTAATATTAATTAAGATAATTTAAGCATGATAACATTAATTATAGTTTAAAAGAAAAGATTAAAATTTAATTAACATAGACATTATAGTTTTTAATCAAACATAATAATATTAATTAGAGTTTTCCCTTAGTCTCGATCTTAGGACCATTTCTTGCATGACAATAGATCCTTTATCTTTCACTTTTATTTCTTCTTTGCATATCATTTGCTTTTTTTTTTAAAAGACAAAAATTATTTTCATAACAAATACAAAAATATTTAATAAATATGATACGTATAAATATGTCATGAATCTTAAGAATATTAGAAAAGATGAGTGAGAGTCTTTTTTATTTTTCTTAGAGTGTTTTGTATATGAAACACTTGATTCATTTGTATAAAGTATTCGCCTTCCTATTATATAGTTTAGTATAATAGGTATTTCAAATACTTTTAAAATTAAAGAAGAAGTACACAAATACCTCATGCTTAAAGGATTATTTGATGTAGTTCCTAATAAAATACTTCAACAAAATTATAATATATTATTTTTAATTATAGACTAACAAATTCACATTCTGTTATTTGCTATTTTATACATGTTGATTTTTAATTAATAGGTAATTTATATCAACATTTTTAATTAATAGGTAATTTATATAATAAATATGTGACTTTTTAAACCACTAAACGAATTAGTAGTATGGTTCTTTGTAATGCGAAAAATCACAACATGTTAAGTTATCTGGATATTCGTGGTTCAGAGAAATAATTTTAATATTTAAACAATTTATCTTTAGTAGATTTTTTTTTTATTAGAGCTCAAATATTTGATTATCTTAATTTTTTAATATATTTTTAATATGACCTATAATAAAAATCCCATAAAAGACAGACACTCCACAGTGTCATTTTGTTTCAATTTTAACTTGAAAATAAATGATTTTTACATTTGTATGTTTAAATACAAAATACCGACTCGAGAATAATATAGAATCAATTAACTTGTATATGAAAATCAATTAACTTATATTTAATGCTTTTAATTATAAGAGTAATTTGTTAAACATATAGTCTTTTCAAAATTTCTCTGTTTCCTTTATTATTATTTTAAAGATATAGTCTTTTCAAAATTTCTCTGTTTTCTTTATTATTATTTTACAAAGATTTGAAAGTCTATACAAGAAAAAGCGAATCTATCAAATATCACATTATTATATTTAAATAAGTAAAAAATTTAGAGAATTTTGACCCATTTATTAAATGCTAATAAGTTTTTATAAATTAAAATAAAACTCATAAATTAAGAACGGAGCAAGAAAATTGGTGCTTATAATCAAGTATATTGTAAAATCATAAATACATATAACATATAAATGGATGTGAGGATTGACTCATTAATACTTGACATAGTTTTCTAAAAAATCACATAATTTTCTTTTAATCAAGTTTAAAGAGGGATTCAAAAATGAAAGAAAAAATATAAAAAATTTATTTTTGAAAGTTTTAGATATTTTAAGAAATAAAACTCACTACAAATACTAATATATCATAAAATATCTAAAACTCTTTGAAAGTTTTAGATATTTTAAGAAATAAAACTCACTACAAATTCAATTGCTAGTGTGATGTCTTGTAAATGAAATAAAATGAGTAGTAAATTGTTGTGGCTGAAATAAAATTAATTTTAAAGTTAGTATTGTGAAGGAAATCAAATGAGTTGCTTGCTATTGTGTTCCTGGTTTCCTGCGTGAGTTTTAAAAAGGAGAATGTTAAATGTGAGTGTCACTGTGAATTTGCAAATTACAATCTGATTGTGAATTATAAAATAGTGTATTTTATTTTTTATTATAATATGAATTCTAAAGTTTTTTATTATTTGTGAGTGTGTTATTTGACTACAATATTGATTTTGTTGTTTCCACTAAAATATTGGCTTTTGTGTATTGTGGGTGTGTAGTGCCAATATGCTAATATTCTATTGTAAAGTTCTAATATACTAATATGTTAAAATATTTGTTTTTGTCTATGTATTGGATTCTGTCTATTGTGAATATTTTATTTTGGTTGCTAAAATATATTGAATGCTAAAATACTCTTTTAATTGTGTTGGTTGTTTTATTTTTGGTAGGAGATTGTGGAGAAATTTTTTATAACAAAAATTACCATCGGAAGAACAAAATTATATTTTTCAACAAGACTCTATTTCTCAACATTAACATATTGAGTGTAATTTGGAAGAATTGTCATCAGATCCTGGAAAACGGCCTAAAATGTCAGTATATCATCTGAATGATCAAGAAATAATACGCAAAACATATTTACAAAGAGGACCATGTCAACCTACACAACACAATTTTTCCCAAAGAAGAATTGGAAATTTAATGAGAAGATTTTGTTCCTCGTGGTTTAATGAATTCGGAAATTAGTTAGAGTACAATATAGAAAAAGATGCCGCATTTTGTTTATGTTGTTACCTTTTTAGACCCGATTTTGGAAAGCAATCAGGTGGTGATACATTTGTAACAGAGGGGTTCACAAGTTGGAATAAAAAAGCTAAACTCACATCACATGTTGGAGGCCCTAATTGTGCTCATAACATTGCTTGGAAGAAATGTGAAGATTTGATGAATCAAAAGTAACATATTCAAGTGGTGATATATAAACAATCTGAAAAAACTTGTGACATGTATCGAAGGAGATTGACAGATTCACTTGATTGTCTTTGCTATTTATTGAATCAAGGATTGGCTTTTCGTGATCATGATGAATCTATTGAGTCTTCTAATCAAGGAAACTTCCTTGAAATGCTTTGATGGTATACTGACAAAAAAAAGTGAGACAAGTTGTATTAGAAAATGCTCCTGAAAATCTAAAAATGACTTCTCCATCAATTCAAAAAGATATTATTAAAATTGCTGCTTTGAAAACTACTAAAACAATTATTAATGATCTTGGAGACGAATTGTTTTCTATTCTTGCTGATGAATCAAGAGATATATCTAATAAGGAGAAAATGATTGTTATTTTGCATTATGTTAACAAATATGGAAGTATTGTAGAACGGTTTTCAGGTATTGCTCATGTTAAAACTACAACATCCATATCACTGAAAACGTCCATAAATGATCTGCTATGTAAACATGGATTCACTACTTCAAGAATTCGAGGACAAGGTTATGATGGTGCTAGAAACATGCAAGGTGATATTTATGGTCTTAAGAGTTTAATTTTAAGGGAAAGCCCATGTGCATTTTACGTACATTGTTTTGCTCATCAATTACAACTTACATTAGTTGCTATTGCTAAAGCCCACCTTCAAGTTTGCCCTCTTTTTAGCTTTGTATCCAATTTAATAAATGTTGTTGGGGGTCTTGTAAAAGGGATGACATGCTACATGAAAGACAAATGATTAAGGTTCGTGATACATTGGAAAATGGAGAAATTATTAGTGGAAAAGGTTTGAATCAAGAAACTAGTCTCAAGCGACCTGCTGATACACGTTGGAGTTCTCACTATGCAACTTTGGTGAATTTAATTTTGATGTATAGTTCTGTTACCGGAGTTCTTGAAATGTTGAAAGAAGAAGTATCTGCTCAAGATGCAAGAGCCAAAGCGAATGGTCTTTTATTTTTAATGGATAAATTTGATTTTGCACTCACTTTGCACTTTATGAAAAATGTCTTAGATATTTCAAATGAGTTGTCACAATCATTGCAAAAGAAAGATTGAGACATTGTCAATGCTATGAAATTGATTAACATCACAAAGAAACGATGCAAACTCTAAGAGATGATGGATGGGAACCTTTATGGGAGGAAGTAAGTTTATTTTGCATTGAGCATGATATTCACATTCCGAATATGGATGATATATTTTTTCGTGGAAAATCAAAACATGGAGGTAATGCTCAATCTATCACAACAAGGGATTATTGTTGCATTGAATTATTTTATACTATTATGGACATGCAGCTTCAAGAACTTAACAATCGTTTTAATGAGATAAATAGTCAGTTGCTCATTTGTATGGCTTGTTTGTGTCTAAGTAACTTGTTCTCTACTTTTGACAAGACAAAGTTAATTGAGTTTGTAAAATTTTATCCAAGTGATTTTTGTCATACTAGTTTGGTGATGCTTGATAATCAACTTGAGACTTATATCATTGATATGCGTACGAGTGTTGAATTTTCATCTTTGAAAGGAATAAGTGATCTTTTAAAAAAGTCAGTTGAAACTAAAACGCATATTATTTATCCATTACTCTACAAGCTTTTGAAGTTAGCATTGATTTTGCATGTCGCCACAACAACCGTTGAACAATCTTTTTCTACTATGAAGATTTTGAAGACAAGATTGCGTAATCGGATAGGGGATGAATGGATGAACAAGTGTCTGGTGACTTATATTGAGAAATATGTATTCTGTAAAATTGATAATGAATTGATTATTCAAAACTTTCAAAATATGGGACCGCACAAAGGGCAATTGTAGAATAGATGTAATTTTTTTTTGTATAATGTAAACTTTTTGAATATATATTATTATAATTATTAATTAAATTTTAAAGAGTTGCACCCATAGACCAGAATCCTAGTTCCGTCACTTTTGTGACAACATATTATTCTCATCAATTTTATAAATAAAATATATATCATACAACTCATACTTTCATGATAAACACATCTTTATGACAACATACTATTCTCATCAATTTAATAAATAAAATTAACGACATGTTTATACAATGACTCATCCATACACAAGTTAAACATTTGGTGTTGCTTGTTCACAACTTTACAAACCCACAAATTTTCTTTAAACATCTCATACACATGATCACATATTGATCCTACTAATTTAGCAGAAGAAGAGGTTCTCGACTTATGCTTGATTGATTCGTTGCTTACTAACAAATCTATGAGGTTTGTTGTGTTGAGAGACATGCTTGTCCAATTATGGCAAGCGGGAAAAGTATGGGTATCACAAAATTAGATGGAAACAAATTCCTTTTTCAATTTTACCATGCGTGGGATATGGAAAGAGTAATTCAAGGAGGTCCATGGCTCTCTGATGGTTTCATGCTGGTGCTACAGAAGTTATACATTGGGGGAGGATCCGTTATCGGTTTCACTAAATTAAGTAGACATTTGGATCCAGGTGCACCAACTCCTATTCGGCTTCATGAACGAAGACGTTGGGATCCTCATTGGAAATCATATCGAAAAGTTCGTTAAGTAGGATGAGTAGAACAACTATGCTTCATGGAGGAAGTTCATGAGAATTGTTGAAATAATATAGCAAGTGTGAGTAAGTGAGGAAATAGTCCCACATTAGATAGGAATATGGAGACTTAAACATATATAAGTGAGAGAACTCACTCACCTATCACCTTAAGGTTTTAGGTGGAGAAGTGGTGTGTCTCTCTCAAAGGTACTTGTTCTTAACCTATACATTAATGCTCCTAAAGGGGAACGGTAACACAATCGAAGCAGCTACTCATGCAGTATAATCTAAAAAGCGTCTTCACGCTTAATAAGCGCAGTAATCGTCCGATTCCAGAGGGCATGCTGAAAGCGGATGGCATGCAAATTTCAAAAAGTGAATTTAATGCATTGGACAACGCACATCATTCTAACAATCATGGTGTTCCTACTCAGAAATTACTCCTAAAAGTCGGGGGAGAATTTAATGATGCAACTAATATTGGGCTGAATACCGGAGGATTCTAATTGCTTAAAGGCTCGGTCTAAGGAAGGCTGATAGAGAATGTGTAAGTGGACATGTGTTTAACAAAGCAGTATCTTTTGCGGGTCCTATTTTGAACGTTATCTAACCAACTGAAGGATTATTTCCTGCTAAGGATAAAATGCATTTTCGTAAAACCGACAAGGTTGTTCCTGTTGGTGCAAGGTAATGGAAGGAGAGATACAGAATGAACAATGAATGATAACAAAGAGGACTACTTCTTAGTATTCAAATAGAGGAATGAATTTGAGATACAATATTGATAGCCTAGATAGCATATTTATACTAGAAATAGAAAATGCCAAAAGGCCCTAATAAAGAGATAATATTGGGAATTATGGACATTAAATAAATTACATTTCCAATACCATCCCTTAATTTAGATAATCTATCAGAAGCTAACAACACCAATTTCATCTCTTAAGCAAAGAAATTGATCTGTTTTAACTGCCTTCGTCAGAAGATCTGCAAGCTGTTTCTGAGTGCTACAGTGCAGAACTTCTAACACTCCTTTCTGAACTTGATTTCTGAGAAAGTGATACTTCGTCTCAATGTGCTTGCTTCTTCCATGTAGCACTGGATTCTTGGCAAGATCAATTGCAGACTTATTATCAATCATCAGCTTCAGAGGTTCCTCAACCTCAACCTTTAAATCATGCAGGAGATTCAGAAGCCAAACTGCTTGACAAGCAGCTACAACACCTGCGATATACTCAGCTTCACATGTTGACAGAGCTACAACAGGCTGTTTCTTGGAACTCCAGGAAATGGGACCTCCTAGAAATTTAAACAAGTATCCAGAGGTACTTCTCCTGTCCACTCTGTCTCCGCACCAGTCAGAATCAGAATAACTTACTAACTATGACTTTGTCTTTCTCTCAGAAGGAAACAACACTCCATATTTCAGAGTTCCCTTAATATATCTCAGAATTCTGACAGCAGCTTGGAAATGAGACCACTTGGGATTACTCATGAATCTGCTGACCAATCCAACTGCATAACAAATGTCAGGTCTAGTATTACATAAATACCTTACAGAGCCAACCAGCTGTTTGAAGGTTGTAGAATCAACAGAATCACCATCAGAGCCAGAATCCAATTTTTGATTGGTTTCTGATGGTGTCACAGCAACTTTGCAGTTCTGCAGCTTAAATCTCTTTAGAAGTTCTTGTTCATATTTTAACTGGTGCAGAATGATACCCTTCTTCGAGTACATAATCTCCATTCCTAGGAAATATGTCATTTTTCCTAGATCTGTCATCTCGAACTCATTCACCAGAACTTCCTTGAACTTCTTTATATCTTCTGGGCAGCTACCTGTTAGCAAGATGTCATCAACATAGAGACACACCAGAATCATATTGCTATCAGAGTGTTGTACATAAACTCCATATTCCATCTCACACTTCTGAAACCTCTGCTTCTTGAAAAATGAATCAATTTTCAGATTCCAAGCTCTAGGCGCTTGCTTCAGTCCATACAGAGCCTTATTTAACCTGTATACCATCCCTTCCTGATTCTTTTTCACAAATACAGGAGGTTGTGACACGTAAACTTCTTCCTGTAATGGACCGTTCAAAAATGCTGACTTCACATCCAGGTGCATTAAAGGCCAGTTTCTGTTTGTAGCTAAAGCAATCACCAGTCTGATTGTTTCATGCCTAGCTACAGGTGCAAACACCTCAAAATAATCTAGCCCAGGTTTCTGAAGAAAACCTCTAGCTACTAGTCTAGCTTTGTGCTTGCCAATGGAACCATCTGGCTTAAGTTTCAACTTAAAAACCCATCTGACGCTGATGGCTTTTTTCTTATCTGGAAGTTTAGTCAATTTCCAAGTTTTGTTCCTTTCTATTGCCTCAAGTTCTTCTTTCATGGAATTAAGTCATTCTTTCTTCTTGAGAGCTTCTTCAATGCCCACTGGTTCAGAATCTACTAACATGGCACACTGAACGACTTCTCCTTCAGAGTCAACGTCATTATCCTGCAGCATGTCAAAATCTGCAAACCTTCTGGGTTTTTGTCTGATTCTCTGTGGTCTTTGAGCTTGTTCTGAAACTGCACCAGAACTACTACTTTCAGAGTTACCACCTTCAGAGTTTTCCCTTCCAGAACTATGATTACCACCAGATTCTAGATCATCATCAGTATTTGGATCATCTTCTTCTAACTCATCTTCATAATCTTCAGGATCTTCAGAATCAGATTCATCTTCTGATCTTTCTAAAACATCTTCAGAGGATAATTCTGGTGTTGGCACTACACCAGAATCAGATTGAGATTTGTTCCAATCCCATGCTTCAGACTCTTTCACCACAACGTCTCTGCTGACTTCAACTTTATTAGTTTCTGGACAATAAAGCTTATACGCACCTGTACTGTGGTACCCCACCAGCAACATTATTTTGCTTCTATCATCCAGTTTTTGTCTTCTAGCTTCTGGAACGTGTTTGTAACAGACAGAGCCAAACACCTTCAGATGACTGACACTCTGCTTATCTCCAGTCCATTTCTCTAAAGGAACAACTTCCTTCAGTTTCTTTGTTGGACACCTGTTCAGAATGTATGCTGATGTGGCAACAGCTTCTCCCCATAGCACGTGAGGTAGCTTTTTCTCTTTCAGCATGCTTCTGGTCATATCAAGCAGAGTTCTGTTTCTTCTTTCAGCAAGACCGTTGTGCTGAGGAGTATATGGAGCAGTAACCTCATGTTCTATTCCACTTTCCTCACAAAACTTCTGAAACACTGTAGAGTTATACTCACCTCCACCATCTGTTCTCAGAATTTTTAACTTCTGACCACTCTGCTTCTCAGCCTTCACCTTGAATTTCTGGAACTCAGTAAACACTTCATGCTTGAATTTGATAACTGTTACCCATGTCATTCTTGTGAAATCATCCACAAAAGACACAAAGTAATTGTTTCCTCCAAGTGAAGGTACTGGAAATGGTCCACACACATCAGAATGTACTACTCCCAGAGCATGTTTCGCTCTGGGGGCGACTTCTGATGTAAATGGAAATCTAGGTTGCTTACCTTTCATTCATATCTCACATGACTTCTCAGGCTTCACAATTTTCGAAATACCACGTACGAGCTTCTTTGAACATAGATGCCCTAAGCTTCTATAGTTTAAGTGCCCTAACCTCTTATGCCACAGCTTACTGTTACTTTCAGCACCTTCTGCACTAAGGCACGTTGCTTCAGCTGTTTCTACATTCACCTTGAATGTTCTGTTGCCTCCTTGTTCAGATTTCATAATTAACTTCTGATTGGAATCATACAACGTCAGAAGATTGTTTTTCATAACAACTGAAAAACCTTTCTCAATCAGCTGACCTACGCTCATCAGATTGCTTCTAATACCAGGAACATACCAGACGTCTTTGATCAGAATGTCTTTCCTATTCTTCACTCTAATTCTGACATCTCCCATACCTTCTGCATTAAGATACTTATCGTTAGCACATCTGATCTTTGTACTCCTTCTGGAGTCAAAGTCTGTCAGCCATTGTTTGTTTCCAGTTAAATGATTTGAGCAGCCAGTGTCCATATACCACCAATCTTATGAGCATTTTCCATCAGAGTCAGAGGCCATTAGCAGTACAGGTTCATCATCAGAGTTTCTCTTATCCATATATGCTTCTTCTGATTTCCTATCTCTGTTTGACCTACAATCTCTGGAAAAATGGCCCAATTGTTTACAGGAGTAACATTGAACATTCCTTTTGTCATACCTCTCTTTTCCT